TTGTCATATGACAGAGCATAAGAGCGGGATCTCATCCTTACAAAAGTTCAAATTAACATTAAATCAAGAGGATACTTAGCTCAGCCTTACATGCTATATATATTCATAGCTAACGGAAAAGATTAAACCTATATAGAATGATTTGGTTAGTCCTTTCACGCCAATTTATGATAGAGCGCACACTTGTGTGGTTACACTAAAATAGGTTCCTACTAGCAAGGAATAAACCTAGTGTAGTCTATTATAATGGCAAAAATCAAATTGATACTAATATGAGGTAGGCTTCGACACTACAATTTAGGTTCATCGACAATGCATTTATAAAATGTGATATGGAAGAATCCTGGCTTGTCTTGAAAGTCATTTCTACTCAGTGATCCTCTGACACTCATTGCAACGTACATAGTAGTGACATCCCAAGAATATACGATGCCCTCCATGAGTTATATTGACTTTGGGGATACTGATGATGTCCAGGCCAGGCCGAAACTGTAGTCGATATCTTTTTGAGAGGTAAGGCATCGTAAAGCCTATTCATTTCACTGTGCGAAAGAGAATGCCTCGTTGGCTACGCCAACCTGAACTTCATAGTAAAATCAAACAACAGCAAGACAGCTGGAACAAGTTGTCTTCCGGAGACATCAACCTAGGAATCTCTTCATCAGACACTTTGACACGAAATGAAAACCAACACAACACAGTTATGCCAGAATATTCATCGAAACCCAGATTCTCAGTGAATAGCATAGCGAAATAATTATCGGTCCTATAAAATTCAAAGATTACGACTGACTAGAATTCCTAGATCAAAATGAAGGCAAGAAATGATTTACACTGGACTCTTACCAAGTGACCGTAGCAAATGCAGTTGGTTTACCAGGTTTCATTAAAAGCCGAGCAAAGTGGATTCGAGCATTTAGTCGGCTTGTGAGTACACGAAGCAAGAGGTCATTCTCACCCATACTCATGCCTCCGGTCGTAACAACTACATCACAGGCCGCTTCGGCCACAGAAAAGTGAAGTTTCTCCGCCAATTGATCAATTTTGTCTCCAACTAGACCCAAATCAATTAGTTCCACTGGGCAATCTCTGTCACCTGCAGTAGAGGCCCTTAGCAGGCTAAGAAGACAGGGTCGATTCGAGTCTCTAATAAAAACGTTCAGAGATGATGATGTATGTGGATAAAAATCGCAAGGGTCAATAAGCTCGTCTCCAGAAGAGAGAATGCCGACTCGGATGGCAGGAAAACAGGGCAGTCGACAACTTGAGAGATCGGGATGATCGGCTTTAACAGAAATGTCTGGATGCTGGCCATCCGAAAACAATCCGGCAGAGGCCAACAAACCTAGTTCAGTTGGCCCAAGGCGCATCCCACGAGGAAACACCATCCCCAGAGGTAAATCACTTCCACGGGGTCGTATGTTATGTCCTACACAGCTAGGAGCCTTTTTCACCATAATCACAGCTTCCTCTTCCTCATCTTCTACACCATCTGGCACTTTATCATTATCGGGCTCTGAACTTTTGTTATGTCTTGTTCCGATATCACTATTCTCTTTACTTACATCATCTAGTATAAGCCGCATTGTCTCTCTTTTTTTCATCCTCGAAACTAGTTTGGTCTCTATGAGTTCAGTGTCCTCCACCTGGACTACGCAGTCAGCCCCCTTAGGAATTCGACCACCAGTGGAGACGCGATAGCAAGTTCCAAGTGTTAGATCAGGCTCTCCAAAGCCAGCCTCATCACCAGCACGCAATACTCCAATTACTTGACGGGGACCAGCACCTTCAACCAATATACAGGCGTAGCCATCCTTCATACTTGCATCATAGGGTGGAAGACATTCAAGCCCAGTCAGACTGACGGCAAGTCGGCGGCCGAGTGCTGCCTCAAAATTTTTCCATTCAATGCGTTGAGACTGGTCTCTGGTGTGAAGACGATGGAAAGCCAAATCAAAAGCTTCTGAGAGTACGAGGTCAATAGCTGATTGGACAGAAAGCATTGGAAAAGGAGAGGTTCGAGGGCGCTGAGTGATTGATTTGATAGGAGAAAACTCCGACACTGTTGGATAACTACAAGTTGGATAACAAGGTGGTCGAGGAGTTGCAGATGGGTTTGAGACAGTCGCCTGTTCCGCAGCGGAAAAGAGGGGTACTTGCCTAAGTGGCTGTGGTGGAAGTGGTGGGGGCCGTTGAGGTGGCAGCTTCTTAGGGGACTCAATAAGGACCTGTCCAGAAAATTCACCATGTGAAGGATGCAAGGAGTCGGGACGATCACGTAGCTGATTGACCATGTGTGGCAAGATGGGGATAAGGAAGTTAAGGCACTGGTGCACGGCTTTCGGGCTTCCAGGCAAACAGATGATCTGACAGAGAGCGGATTACAACAAAAATAAAGTGCATGAAATAAATCGCTGACGTTTCAATATACACAATGAAAAAGGCGTGATAAATCGCCGAGATTGATAGGAAGTAAGGGCAAAAAGTAATAGCAAATTTCAAAGAAGATTAGCATATTGAATAGCTATCAGAATTGAAAAGTATGCCAACCAAGTGACCCAGCAGATAAGCCAACTAGGCCGAACACAAACATCATTAACATTCTATAAGCCCAAAGGATTATAATATTGTGACGCTTGGATTCAGCCACCCATAGTGATCGAATCTCAACTTTAATAGGCAAAGAAGTTGTTTGACCTTGTTTTCACAACTCGGTCATATTGGTAGGAAGACTTAGAGAAACGCACATTGTTCTGAGTCCATTTTATGCATAATTATTTCGAAAGTCGGACCGTGGACGTGGACGCTTCGCCGGCATCGTAGTCGGCATCGTCAGTGAGTCTCGTCATTCGTAGCACCATATTACAACACGTCAGAGACAAGTTAAGCCGATCCTTTGACCAAACGTGTGCTAAACAGTTATAGTATCTCCCATTCCGCCCTGGCCTATTCGCAATTAATATATCCTCCTATCACGCCATCCCCGTCACAATTTTTTACTTGCTTAATTAACTGTGGTACGGTGTGCCCTTTTGAGAGGCTTTCATAAAAACCCGCCGCACTCCACGCTGGCCTTCTCACCACCCTTCATCCTTATGCTGGAAATGTTCATCAGAGTCTGCCATATTGTGACGCAGTCCTCCTTCCCTAGGTCTTACCACAGTCTCTCTCTTGCCCCGTAAGATCCATCTGCCCTCTCACTGGTTCACATATTTCACTCGACCCCTGCCACCCCATCTGTGCCACCCGAGGCGTTATTGT